GGCAGCGGATCGGGTGGCCGAACGTTACGTTAGAACGCTTTAGTGATCAGCCCTAAAGGAGTTCTAACCGCGACATTATGGACTTCTCGTTCTTTCTTCCCGGGTCTTAGTTTCGAATGGATCGAGCTTCCCAGACTATCGAAATTGGCTTCACCCGAACCGGAGATAATCAGCTGAGAGAAGCCCGAAGAATGACTGACTCCGAGTAGATCTTCAAACGGACAGAACTGGACTTGTTCGACTTCTTGAGATGGGAACAATTGATTCATGTAGGCGCCTTTCTTTGATTCAGATTTGCCGATATCCGAGTAAACCGAGACGTGCGCACCCCATCCAACGGCCAAGAGTCCCTTCTGCGACCAAGCCGTCGTTTTGGCGGGTTTCTTCAAAGTCCATGAGGTCAGGGTTTTCCAATTTCGGGTATCCCAAATTTTCAGGCTACCATCGAGGCCGGTGGTCGTGAGCAAGTTACCCGAGCTGGATGGATCAACCGATAGACTGGTGACCGGACCGAGATGAGCTAGAAACTTGACAAGCGGTTGGTTGACAGAGGGACTCCAGAGTGTCACCGTTCCGTTTTGGTGGCCGAGATTGATGATCGAATTGAATGGGTTTTGGGTCATCGTATGGCATGAACCAAGTTTTGTGGCGTGTTGAGCAACGATTTGGCCGGTACTCGTATCGTGATACTTCAACCACCCTGGTAATCCGACGGTCGTTAGTAGGAAGTGGTAGGGTAAGAATTCCATCTGAGTTACTTCGACGTGCCCCCGTAATTGATGTAATTCCGATCCTTGATGGCCATCGTAGATGTACACGTATCTCTTTTGGGCAATCGCCATGAAAGATTGATTGTGTAGCCATTTAACCGCCCTCAGATGTTCATTCAATAGGCCGATTTCGAAGATTAAATTGAGAGATTTGAGATTGATGTTCGAATATTTCGCGACCTTCTGGTCGATCAGAGCCAAGAAGTTCCCGTTCCGGTTGTAGTCAAATTTGAATGGTCCGCCGATCCCGCTGTTAGGATCTTTCAAGTTCAGATTGAAGCTTTTCAATGAGTTGTGGAGATTAGTGGATGATTTGATGTCTGATTGTTTGAATTTCCAAGTCTTTTCCAGTTTGTTCTCTGGTTCCAACAGGTTTCCATTGGTTTGATTCTGATTTAGGAGTAGTAGGTTATCATGTTCCTGTGCCTTTTCTATCGATTTTAACTTCGACTTGGCGATTCCGGCGAGATGGTTCGATAGTTTCTTGTTGTTTTGCGTTGCTTTCTTTTGGGTGTTTCAATTCAAATTAACAATTGAATTAGTTCATCTTCAAACCTGCCTTCAAGGTGAAAAGAAAAGCTAACTGACCTTCCAATCATTTGCTTCATTTCGAATAAGTTTCTTGGTTGCAGCTGGGTTGTGGCTACTATCCAAGTACTTATTAGTTTGCTCCTGGTTGACTTGGTATTCTTGAAGCTCCGGATCTTTTGGCTTCTTCGGTTGTTCTTGTTTCTTCTTCGTCATGTTTTTGTGAGTCTTGTTAACTACTTCGAGTGGTCTGATTGTTGTCTTGGGCAACCCTTTTCAGATATGTAGCTGGATCAACATCTTTGTTCAACCCAGGCCGGACTTTGCATACTGCGCTTATGCAATATGCTCTGTGAGCTATAACACACCCAACTGGGGCTTAATGGAAACCCCTTCCAAACTCATCATTTTAGCTTAACCCTGCTTAACCCAACCCCCTATAAAAAGTTCAACACCACTGATTGGCAGACCGTGGGCAGCTATGGTACGCGCCCTTAACAAAGTCTCTTACGGGCAAGACCCAGGTGTGGGAACTAGATAAGCTAGGCCAAGCGCCTCTCGCGGAGCGAGCCTCTCTGGCGAGGTGCCCCCGGCACGCTCCCTAACTTAACCCAAGTCCCTGTATCGGAGGGCCTGGTACAGCCAGGCTGGCGCGAAAGAGGCTCGCTTCGCGAGTTGCCTCCGGCCCTCTGTCGAGGGGATTTGTTACGCTAGGCACGCTCCCCGGCCCTCTGGAACGAGGGAATGGTGTTAAGCTGCATAGCAATAAATTGGACATTGAAGCCCTCATTGGGTTTTCATCATGTGCCCTTTTCAGCATAATATCTTTTTCTGGCACGGCCAATTAAAATCCGCGTGCCGGCTTCCCCACCAACAGTGACCGTCAGCGAATGAGATCCAGTAGGAGCCCTTGGCTTACCAAAAAAAAAAAAAACTCAGACAGGCCGTAGTGTTGAAGGCTCAAGGGGATTATGGGTAAGATTAATTGATAGGGGTGTTGCGGTTTGAGGGAGGGCTGGCAACAGTCCGGTTCGGCTCCGGTGGTCTCGCGACCGGCCAGAATTAATATAGTTTCGATTCAAGTACTTCGACAAGTAAGCTGATAACTGTTTCCCAGTCTTCCAGAAAATTACCTCCTTATTGAGCATTACCCGTAGCCAGAAGCCAAAAGGTATAGTATCTTGTTTCATTCACTATTACTAACAGCACGAACTGCCACCGGATATCAACGCTCAGTGCTTGCCCTGTCAGAAACAAGGGATAACGTTCGATGCCTCGGCCCTCAAAACATGCTCATAGCTGAGATTAGCTTCTGGCAAAAATCCATCGTCAACGGGGGACTATGCTGTCTGTTGAAGTTTCCCCGTGATCAGATTGTTATGTTCACCGCTTGTTGTTAAAGTGTCTTTCGAGAGACATTAACCGGGTGGGTGAGACAGGAACACCATCACCACCGACTTGATCGTCAAGATGGTCCCCGGTTGGCCTTTTGGAGAATGAGACGGTTGTTATCACATCCGTCTCTTTCTTCTGCCTTCGCTGGCTCAGTTTTCCCTTTAAAAAGCCAGAGAAAAGTCCGACAACCTCATCCAAAATTCCCTTTTCCATTCCTTCCTCGTGGCATCACTTACAGATACCTTGTAGATAAATATATCTAGTGTAAATAACTCACAGCGTATACAGACTCTACCTGAACTCTTTTTAGCCACACCTGAGACAGATTTTTCAGGCGCTTTATCTTTCAAGGGCTACTGTTCCTTCAATCTGTCAGTCTTTTGCTCTTAGACTTCCTTACTTCGTGACCCATCTAGTTCAAAGTCTACAAACATTCCCAATAGGAAACCTCAAGCAACACCATAGAGGGTTTTCCAAAACCACAAAATAAGCTTAAAATTACTTTTGGTGAGCCTTTCTTCAGTCCGATTTCAAGCTATTTATCTTATATCTTCTTACTAAACCTATTGGTTTGTCTGGGTGGCATATAGTAACATCTCGAGCCTCGTTTCCCCCTCACTGAAACAAACATGTTCGGTGAACAAGCGACCCAATGGTTTCCTCACGGAATACCTGAATCGAATTTCGGACTCGCTCCTTCACAAGGTATGCCGTGATGCATGTTCTTGAATGGCTTGGATTTCGGATTTGTCTGATGTGTCGAACCTTGTGTCGAACCTTGGGCGATGCCTACAGGTCAATACGACAATAAGATTCTTCACGACCAATACCCATACCAGAGCGAACCAAATCCATCGAGCTATCCACCAGACATTATCGCTCCCGGTCTGGGGTCATTTGGCATGTTCCAACCAAGTGCCTACCCACAACAGCAGCTGCAGAATTTCTCGTCGGATAAGCAGACTCCTGAGCCATCGATCGAGCCCCTTTCAGTTTCTCCCAAGTCGCTCAGTTTTTACGGCCCACAAATGACCGGACCCCTTACTCCGACCGTTTGCCGTGCGCCACACTTCAGCCAACTGATTGATTCAGAAATCCCCAAAAACAGCTTCGGTTTAATGGGATACTGCTCTCCGAATCCAACTACAAAATGTGAGCAAATTGAGAGCGCAAATTTGGAATACCAGAATGCAATAGGTTATCAAATAAACAACGAAAATGTTGGGCACAGAAAAGAACAGATCAACTATGTCTTCAGCCAAAATTTTCAATCCGATTTCGGTAGTAACATGACTGCAGTAAACCCTCCTGCCACCGTTGGAAGCTCTCAGCTTGACCAACTTGGTTTACTGGGTCCTGATATCAACAACTTCCTCGACTCATTCTTCAAGGACCCTGGGTCAATGCCGATTGACCCAACGAGAGAAACTTCTGTGCCCGGTTTGAAACTCCCAAATGTGAACTCCGCAAATGAAGTTGGGCTTAACTCACCAAAAAGAAATCACATTGGTGTAAATACTTATCAGAGGTCAGATAAAGATTATCAAACTGGGGTCTTGAAACCACTTCAAAATATAACGCAACAAGCTTCAGACAAGGTTTTGGTTCCACTGCAGAACGTAGCTTACGAGAAGGAAGCCAAACCGGTTTATAAAGAGCATTCCACGTACCTCCATAGCGGTACGCCCGAGATTCTAGAACTTCCGAGAATTGCTCGCAATCCTCCAAAACACTTCTCCGGCGGCTCTGGAACTGGTCAAGTTCAAAAACGCAAGCTTTCAGTGGAGGAAGCCGACCAAAGATTCATCTCTTGCCGCACCATCAAAACTACTCGTCGGGTGGTCACAGGTGGTAAAAATTCTCGAGGAACCTCAACATATTGTCCTTTGATCACAGTATCAATTCCCTCAGTGCCTTGGATTCCAGAAGTTAATTCCGGACCAAAAACAAACTCAAAAAATTCCAGCTTCCGTCGTAGTAAACTAGGTCAGGCTCTCAGAAAGAAGGCCAAAATAGAAAAACATTAAAATTCCATATAAACCGTACACTTCTGGGAGAAAACCCTAGGAAATAGGGGCCGAAGAATTTTACCTCCCAGATTTTCATTCGAAAATGCTTCAAACATTTTTTCTTAAGTCCTGGGAATGGACCTTTTTGACTCACACAGTCCTTTGCGCTTTTCGTGTTGTAAATATTCTTCATGTATTTAGATCCATCTACTGATTGACGCACTCGTCCAACAGAGGCACATTTCTTATCTGAAACGTATTATTTTACATTGTTACACGTGATGCGAGACGAAATTGGAGGTATGCAGGAATCGTTGTTCACATTATCCCCAGCGATGGCTCGCTTACTAAAGGTTAGGTGGCTCGTTATCTTCATGAAATGCGGGGATTTTCACGTGAATCCATACACGATAGAATTTTTTTCCTCACGTCTACTTTGCCCCGAGTGTTGTGATGGGAATGACCAACCGCAGTACCTCAGCGACTGAGTTTTATCACCTGAAATATGTTTATTCACCTCCTAAAGTAACCAGTCCCTTCGAGCTTATATTTGACGCGATAAGTTGGTAATTATTTCAAGGCCACCTGAAACGCGAAAGTTGCTGCGGAAAGAGACGGCCGTCAAAGTTCAGTAGAGTGAAATTATCCAGATTAATTAATCCCTCCGAATTTGACACAAGTTCCTCTTCGCCAATACGCGTCCTCGCCACGCTTTGTAGAGCTAAAAAATCATACAGCTTAAGAAGTATTGATTGAAAGCACGAGGGAAGCAGAGTGGTGTACTAGAGACACTCCCTGATTTGAGTCCAGATGGGTTTAATTTACACTCAATTCAAGGAGGTCTGATGATCGTTTGTTTCCTGATTCTCGACCCCAGCAGAGTTGCCTATAGACTGAGAGCAGATTTGTAAGTACTTATCAATCATCTTGACCACTCCTGTGTACTTTGGATAATTATGCCACGATACATACATGCCTAACACATGGAGATGGCCTTATGATCGAACTTAATGTTAGAATCTGAGCCCGCAACACTGCGCATACAGGATACGCAGCGTTGCTGACTCACGCACAATTCTCACCATCAGCAAATCGGCAAACCTAACCTAATCAACATCCCGCTCCATAAAAACATCGACTCCAACCGCTACTTCTAGTTTCTCTTTCCTCACACGCTTTATCATAAAACGCTTGTGAAGAATAGAGAAACTAGTAAGTCAAAATCCCTAACTTCAAAATCAACATACCCGAACTCGAAACTAATCTGGATTCTTTATCTTTTTCTTCCTATCATTTGTTTCTCTTCTTGAATAGATTATCTATTGCGTGTCCTTCAACAACCCCATCCCCAAAACCCACAACAACACTCGCCGTGCTCGTGCAGGTATGCACTATCCATGTTTTTCCTTTTTCATTCATCATTAAAAATGTTTTTCATTGTTTCTCTAATATTTTCTCAACATTCTCATTCTTTTCTTTTTGCTTATCTCAGGTGTGTGAATACTCAGGTGTCGTCGTTGCTATAAGAACAACTCCGACTCAATTATTATTTTCATCAGGTTCGATCTCTTTTTCACACACATATGTTTTTCTCATATCTTGTTTCTTTCTCTCTTATAATTCTCTTTTCTCTAAATGTCAATACACGCTTTATCATAAAACGCTTGTGAAGAATAGAGAAACTAATTATCTATTGCGTGTCCTTCAACAACCCCATCCCCAAAACCCACAACAACACTCGCCGTGCTCGTGCAGGTGTGTGAATACTCAGGTGTTGTCGTTGCTATAAGAACAACTCCGACTCAATTATTATTTTCATCAGGTGTGTGAATACTCAGGTGTCGTCGTTGCTATAAGAACAACTCCGACTCAATTATTATTTTCATCAGGTGTTTGTTGAATCGATTCCACTCAATAATTACATGGTAGCGAGAGCTTTCAGTTCATCAACGAATCATCACAAAATGCACAAGTCATCGATACAACGCTGAACTCCAGAAGAATGCGCTCCAGGATTCCTAGATCGAAGAAGCATGACTATAAACAAGGATCCAGGTACGCCTTTGGGAATATCTGCCACGTTAAATAAAATCAAAGGCATCGAAGCTCTCACAGACAACAACTTCATGGTCTGGTCTCGACAAGTAATCGGGTCTCTCGAAATCCTATTCCTTCACGGATACGTCATCGACAAATTCTATGAAGATAACGGAGTTTCCCACGACATCAACAATATAAATAGAAGATGTATACTCGAATTCCTTTATTCTCAAATGGATTCTGACAACTCAACCAGATTCCGAGCTGCTTACAACGACATCAACATTCCTCTCGTTCAACTAGAAGAAGATGATGACGATGATGACGCCGAAGACCCCAGCATCCGACAGATACCTGAATCTGTAAAAGGACCAGCTCACCTCTGGACCGCAATAAAGACTTTCCATCAGTCTGACAATGAAGCGAATCTCTATCTCATTCAATCCAAGATAGAAAAATTCACCCAAGACTTTAAGACATCCATTACAGCACACATCGATTCATTCTCCAAACTCAAGAGCGAACTCGCAAATCGAGGAGGTCACATCGATGAATCTCAACTAGGACGACGACTCCTACACTCTCTAAACGAATCTCACATTACTGAAGTACGAACCATACTTCGCACCGTCAAACCAATCACAACTCGCGCTGTCATCGACGCACTCAAACATCGAGTTTTCTTTCTCAGGCGCCGGAAAAATCACCACCGGAATCAGTAACATGAAAATGGCCGGTAACACATCGAAGCCTCAAAAATTCCAAGGAAAAGCCAAGTGCACGATCACACATTGCCTAGGCCCACATGCCGCCAAATCATGTTTTCAACGACCCGAGAACGCCAAAGCTCAAAAGGAATGGTACGAAAAGCGCGGACTGACTCCGCCCGGCGCCAACAATACTGAAGAAAGAAATCCCACCGACTCCAGCAGCACTCATTCCACTCAAGGAGAAGTTTTCTTTACTCAGTCAATCCCAAGACCCAAGAAGGATTACGTATTCGTGGCGTATGGAAACAAAGCCAATCTCGTCCACTCCAAACTCGAAGCCATATGGGATACCGGGGCATCTTTCGATTTTTCTCAAACGTCAAGAATAACTCCAAGAAGCTAGATTCCATCATGACTGCCGGCTCAGAAGAACTCAGTGTTGAGGCAATTGGCGAGGTGGCGATCAAAGGGGTATCCGTTGAAAAATTCACACTTCGCGACTCCCTCTACATCCCGAATATCCGTAACAACCTCATCGCCGCCGGAGCACTCAAGAGAAAGGGGGCAACTGAAGTCCAAGATCCCAACGATCAATCAAAGTTCAATATCATGTTTGATGGCGAGATTTTTCTACACGGTCGATACGTCAACAATCTCATGGTAGTCAAGATAGATCCGGTTAGCCATTTTCACATCAGTACTCAGAAAGAATCGCATGAAGCTAACGTTATTGATGTCAAAACAGCACACAACCGACTAGGTCATCTCAACAAGGACTACCTCAAGAGAACGGTTGATGCGGAAGGAAGGCTGGAAGACGTGTGTGATACTTGCAAGCTCACGAAATCAACTAAACTCCCATTCTCCGGCACTAAACCTCTCAGTCGTCATCCACTAGATAACGTACACATAGATCTTAGCGGCATCATCCAAACCCCTTGTATATTCAATTACTCCTATTTCATGTTAATCATCGACGAATTTACTAGGATGACCTTCATATTTTTCTTGAAATCAAAAACAAAGGAGGAAATTTTTTATGCTATCAATCTTTTTATCACGCGTGCCGAAAGACACTGCGATCGGAAAGTAAAAATGATCACCACAGATGGAGGCGGGGAATTCATCAACTCCCTCCTTATTCCCTTCTGCGATTCAATCGGTATTGTTAAGAACACTACAGCGCCGTATACCCCTCAGCAGAACGGCCTAGTGGAGAGATACATGAGAACCATAGTCACTAAGGCGAGATCATTTCTATCCTTTAGTGGGGTCCCCACACGTTTCTGGAGCTTGGCTTGCGACGCAGCTGTATTCGTTCAAAACCAAATATTCAATCGTGCTAGAAATGGATTAATGGAGTCGCCTTACGAGCTCTGGTACAAGCACAAGCCTAATTTGGATTATGTGCGAACCTTCGGCTGTTTAGCATACATTCACATTCGAGACGAAAAACAAGCCAGCAAATTCCATGAGACATCCCAAAAAGGAATTCTCCTAGGTTTCGATGAATTCAATCACAATTACCTCATTTTTGACTACGATAGCCATAAGATCATCAACACTCACGACGTATCCTTTGATGAGAACTGCTTCCCAGAAAAAGGGGATGGCATTACTGAACAATTCATTATCGGTAATGAAGGAGAATAAGAGGCGGATACTACTCGAACAGTTGTAGAAGTATCAGAAGAGGAATATTCGTCTGAGGAAAGCGAACACGAAGATCAAGTTCAAATTGAAAACCTCGACAAACCTACCCAACGACTAAAGGTTATTCCTCCAAAACCCCCTCAAAATCACCCGGACCACCCTAATTACGTTCGAAGATCAACCAGGATCAGTCAACTCCCCAAACGATCATATCAAACGGGACCCGCTCAGTGCTTCAATGCCCAAATCCTTGACCCCAAATTCGAGCCCAAGAATTTCAGAGAAATTCAAAGGTCAAATTTTAAGGACAGGTGGACAGAGGCATGTGAAAAGGAAATCAAAGGTTTTGAGAAGCTGTGCGTTTTCTCACTTGTCGACCGACCTTTAGGAAGGAAGATAATTCGTGGCAGATGGGTGTTCAAAGTCAAACTCCTACCAAGCGGAGACATTTCCAAGTACAAGGCCCGATATGTCGCAAAAGGGTTCACGCAAGAGGAAGGAGTTGATTTCGACAAAATCTTTTCTCCTACCGGAAGACCGGCATCCTTGCGCCTAATCATCGCCCTAGCAGCTCAAATGGGATGGGCCATTGAACAAATGGACGCGGTAGCCGCCTTCCTGAATAGTCCGCTTGATGAAGAGATTTACCTAGAACAACCTGAGGGCTTCGAGGTCGGTGGAAAAGG